GGTTGGTTGGTTGGTTGGTTGGTTGGTTGGTTGGTTGGTTGTGGTTGTTGTTGTTGTTGTTTTTGTTGTTTGTTGTTTGTTGTTTGTGTTTTTTGTTTGTTGTTTGTTGTTTGTTGTTTGTTGTTTGTTGTTTGCTGTTTGTTGTATGTTGTTTGTTGTTTGTTGTATGTTGTTTGTTGTTTGTTGTTTGTTGTTTGTTGTTTGTTGTTTGTTGTTTGTTGTTTGTTGTTGCTGTTGTTGTTGTTGTTGTTGTTTGTTGTTTGTTGTTTTTGCTGTTGTTGTTGTCTTTGTTGTTGTTGTTTGTTGTTGTTGTTGGTTGTTGGTTGTTGGTTGTTGGTTGTTGGTTGTTGGTTGTTGGTTGTTGTTTGTTGTTGTTTGTTGTTTGTTGTTTGTTGGTTGTTGGTTGTTGGTTGTTGGTTGTTGGTTGTTGGTTGTTGTTGTTGTTGTTGTTGTTGTTGTTGTTGTTGTTGTTGTTGTTACCCCTGCAGCTTTTTCTTAGTCTCGTAGTGGCCCAAAAGCGTCAAATAGGTGTTGTCTTCACATTTTTTCTTAGACTCTCGGAGCAAAGAACACCACAAATACCGATGTTTTTTGCTCCTCGGAAGCCCCAAACCACCGTATTTACGATGTTTTCTGGCACTGGTCGCAAAAATCACGGTATTGCCTAGCAAAAACACTGGTATTTACGCAGTTTTAAGCATGTTGCAAGAAGTACCGTTTCCATGCCAAAGGCAGTATAAATTGCAGTGTTTTGGCTCTTGGCATGCACCTAAAAATCAGCGAAAGCCCGTCAAAAAGTGCCCAACGTTAACCTTCCAAACCCTGCTTAGCACCAAGCCTCGTTTTTATCCATGTTCCGCGGCCCAAGAGCGTGAAAACACCACCAGAGTGAAGGGTTTTGCGATCACGTCCGCCCCCTGCTGGCCCCAGCGGTTGCGGGCCTAGTGACAAGAAATGACAACACAGGGCATCCAGGTCCAGTAGTTGGAATGAGCAGAACTCAAGGTTTCGATAGCGCATGAAACAACGATGCAATGTGCAAGCCTCATTTTGTGCAAGTCTCATCTTATTACAACAAGCAGCCAAAACCAGCCAAAACCGCCTTTTGAAACGCCAAATCCCCATGCTCCTGAAGGACGAAGCGGCCCCACCTCATGATCCCCATGCATGGGGCTGCCAGTGCCTAACGTTGCTTTCTGAACTGACAAGAAATTAGCTTCAACTTGCACCTTCCTGGCCTTCTGAACCTGGCACATCTTCAACTAGCACCCCTCTTCCAAAATGCTGGGGCTGAAACTTCTTCTTTTTCTTCTTCTTTTTCTGCTTGTAATCTCTTCTCTGACGCCCTCCCCCTTGCCCTCGGCAGGGGTCAGCGGATCAGATGTAAGAATCACATATAATTATCATCAGCTGTCATCAACCAGATGTTGCAATCATCAAAATACGATTGATACTAACAATCATGAAAGATGATAGGGATGTTCTCAGCCATGTTTTTTTTAATACCTGGAACGAGGCTTTGGAAAATGAAGGGGTCCAACACTAAAGCCGGGTCTCTGGGGAAGTATTTCAGGTATTTCATATTTTGCGCCACGACTGTTTCCCCTTGCTGGCTTGCCTTGCAAGCAAGCATGTCGAATCCAAGTCAAAGATTCTGACCGACCCTAACAACCAAAAACACACAGACAATACTTAATCAGGAAACTGATAAATAACACCGGCAAATTTCTTGAAATCCAGTAGATCTGTTTTGGAACACATGCAGGCCCAAATCAAACTGTACTGCAAGGCCTCATTTGTCATCAAGTCCAGGCAAGTCTGTCAGAGGATCAGCACTGGTGAATCAGATCAAAGATGGAAGTGGTCAAACTGTCTCAAGTGTGATCAGCAGCGAAGTCAAATGTGATTTGAACTCTGGACATCCCATACCGGTTGGCGGCTGCGTTTTCCATCCTGCAAACGCAATTGACTATTGTATACCACCGTAATAAAGGGCAGTTAATATGTTTGGGAAAAGTTGAAAAGGTCCATTCTGAAGAAATATGAGCCTTGGATACCTCTAGATACTTGAATCATCTAGACTTCGCATCGCTGGGAAAGAAATCATTGAATCATCAAACTTTGTGACCGCGGGGTGGCCTCTTTCCATGAGCGCCGTACGGCATGCTGCGCGCTTTGTGCCCTACTGTGGCTGCACGTTACAAGCGGTGGACGAGCACAGGTAGCGCCTCGGATCTGAAAAGCCAATGATAAATGTCTGCGGGCAGGGCACAACTAAGAACCAATGATAAACCTCCTTTGTTCAAACATGGTATTTGTATCAGCCCACGATTCTTCCCAGGTGTTTCAAGTGAAACAAAACACCTTTTGCTTGGTTCTTCCTCCTTTTTTCCAGTCCTTTCCTGATAACAAATCAAAAAAAGATAGACGGGGCATGGTTGGATTAAGATGGATGAATGGAACATGCACGGTACACCGAGTTTTTTTGGGCCATGGGCTCCCCAGAACGGGTTTAAGTGAAACCAGCACAGATCTCGGGCTGTTGTTTTTTGTGGAGCATCCAAGCTAGATGGTCAATTTCCCTATGGTATGGGGAGGCGAAGGCCCAGTTAACGTTGGCCCCAAGCAATCATTGGGATCATTGGGTAGGAAGCAGATGGGTTGGATTTTCTCATAGGAAGCATGATTGCTTGAGGCTTGAAACTGACCAGATCTGACGGCTCCTACCTCGCTTGTGGCGGTAATCGGTGCCAATCGCTTGTGGCAGTAAAAACTTTAAAAAAACACTGCCACAAGTGTTTTTTTTTAAACTGCCACAGGCGATGCTCGTTTTTGCGTGGCAAGTGCAGCACTTCAATGCCTTATCACTTGTGGCGGTACTCGCGCGTTTCTGTTTTCAATCGCTTGCGGCGGTAAAAAAATATCGCTTGTGGCGGTGTGTGGGTGTCCTTGATGCCAGGGTATACTATAAAAAACCAATCGCTTGTGGCAGTACGCTGCTGCGACTGATGCATTCTCGGATGCAGGGCAGGTCCTATGAGGAAGGAAGCGACATGGCGCATGTGCCAAGTTGTGATGCTTTTCACGCGACTTTTCGGCTGTTGTTGCAAACATGAATTCTGTTGTGCCGTGGGCTGTGCTGCTGCTCTTGCACGTATAGTGGCTCACATTCGGATGATGCATGTGTGCTTGGACATTGAAAGGGCAGGCCCCTGCTACGCAGACATGAGGCTTCTTAGGAGAAACTGCTGCTAGACTTGCGTGTGTTAGTTATGTTATACGGAGACGTCACTGCTGTAACTGATTTGTTGTTGCTGCTGGTGACGGTTGCTGTAATGTGGCCGGCGCACCAGGGCAATGTTTGATTTCGTACAGTGCTACATGTCGGTGAAAAGGGGCTGCATGTGCGGGGACGCGTGCTGGATGTTATGCTAGAAAGTTTTGCTGCACTCGCGCACATACTTGACGTTACGGTGGGAAATCTTTTGTCTTAGCAGCTAGAAATTACTCATATATTGTTTTCCTCAAACAAACTGTAGATCCTACCCTTTTCTTCCCTAGCCCCACCCCACCCCCCAAGGTTGAAGCGGGATGGTAAGTCGCAGGAAGTGGAGTAGCGGTTGTGTCTCTATAATGAAGTTAAGCAACGGGTGTGGCTGGTAGATCCTACCCTTTTCTTCCCTAGCTCCACCCCAAACCTATTCTCATCCTCCCCTACGTCTAGGCTCCCCTAATGTAGTGTTTTACTGCCGCAAGGTATTGGTTTTAAAGATTCTTACTGCCGCATGTGATTTTTTCGGATAGGTTGTTACTGCCGCATGTGATTTTTGGAATACTGCCGCAAGTGATTTGTTTTTACTGCCGCAAGTGATGGGTTACCCGATTTGACCGGTGCCCAAGACTAATGTATTGCTATGACGGTCTTTGCCATTGGACATGCCTCAAAGTAGTATGAGCAACGCACTTTTGGAGTGAAGGCTTGGGTGCTGTGCAGCTTCAGGGCTACTTTTCAGATGTTTCCAGCCGTGGTCATAGCAGGTTGAGAATGATCCCCTTTTGCACGCGTTTCGGCTGATCCAAATCTTCGAGTCGTCTTCAGATCATCATTCCTGACCTATTATATAATATTATATAATCATCTTTAGTTGTGGTTTCCCAGGTGGTTGGTAGAGCTTGGTGGCTGGGCTGAGGCCAAGTCGACTTGTCGCGCGTTCCCTTGTACGAAGAAGATCATGTTCCGGGACGCCGAGCGTCAAACCATTATGCCCAACCAAGAACACATCGTTGCCGTCAAACAGGAAGACTGACCCTCCGCAAACGGAATTGGTGAACTGCAGTGAAGAGTGAAGATTCGTAATACATCCCTTTGTTTTTTGCGCTTGATACTGATGTTTGCGCGTTGGCCTGGCACTGGTGTGGGACAGCGTTGGGCACTTAGGCTTAATTAGGCTTGGCTCTGTTAGCTTTCTAGACCACGGCGCATCGTTGCAATGCTGGGCCACCTCAGTCCAACGCAGCTGGGGTTGAAAGGGCGTTGGCCCACTGGTGCAGGACATGTGCTTGGGCTTTGCGTGCCACAGTGGTTTGGCGCTGGCGACTTGGAGCAGGATGCGCGAGATGCAGTTGCGCGAGGCTTTGGCTGCCAATCATGGGGTAGGACTTGTTAATGTGGCACGATGGTGACAAAACAAATCATTTGATGTCATGGCATGTCAATCTCATGAGCGTTTGTTTGTTGTAAGCCCACTGTGTGACTCACATTGCGTGATAAAAGCGGGCAGGCCAGGTGTAGTAGCAGACCAAAGGCATTGAATCCGAAATCCTGTGGTCCAGAAACGTGGCTTTACAGCTGACCTGGTCGCGGCTTTGCGCTGTGGCGTCTCCATGTGACGCGTGCCTATACTATCTGGGGGATGACCGTCCATGAGAACCAAGCATTTGTGTCATTTGTCCTCTTCAAGCACCCCATAGTGCCCATTGGTGCCCCAAAATCGCGTGACTGGGCCAGGGGCCACCTTGGGCTTCCAAGTCTTGCAGCGTGAGCTGGGGGGCTGTGTGGCGCAACTTGGTGTGGAAATATGGCTCATGGGGCGCCAGGGGGCACCGATAGGTCCACGCAATCTATCGAAATCATTGACATTTGTGAGCCTTTAATGCTTAAAACATATCAAAGTTCGCTGGGCAATCGCTCCGGCAGGGTATCGCCCAAGGCTTGGCCACACGCTCATGGTTTCATCAATCATAAGGCTCTGACCCCGTTTATCTGGTCATTGTCGACCTCCCGCAGATTTCAGGTCGCAATGGAAAGTCGTTGACGTCGACCACAGGGAGCGTGTGGGGGCTGGCAAAGTGAAGTATCATTCAGCTTTGAGCAAGGCTAGGAGTTGGTTATGGGTCGAAATCGGAGCTATGCAACACGCATGGGATATAGTATCCATATCCACCTACATCCATGCATCCATCCCAACGAAACTTGAAATACTTAAGCAAACAGACTTGTTTTGGAGGCGCATGTTGATGGTGTATGCCACGACATTGGGCAAACATGGGCAAACAATATCTCTGTATGGCTCCTGGCGGGCACCCATTTTAGGATGAAAAAAAACGGGAAACGCTTGGACCGACCTGGTCCCTTTGTATTGCATTGTATTGCCAAATAAAACGTTGTTGTGATATCCAACCTCCACGGTTTTTCAACTTCGGACCTTGCTGCGTTCGCTACCCTCAAACCCAGAATTGGTTTCAGGGCAAACATGGTAGGACACCCAATTTATAATGTATATAATTGTATATATATATATGTATATAATATCAATTTATCACATATAGAAACTATAAAACCCCTTGGTTTCCCCGTAGAATCTGCCACCCATCAACCCCAGTTTCATTGCCCCAGGTGGCAGTCCAAATGTCTCAGCAGTTGCAAATGGTTCAGCCGGAACAGGCACGCTTGCCTCGTACTGTAGATGGATTGCCAGTAGTTTGCCAACAACTTTGGACTTAACCGCAGGGCACATAAAAATCGTCTTGGCGTGATGCTGTGAATCGATGTGAATCCCAGTGGTCTCAGGTGCTGAGGCCTAATCAAGACGCAGCCAGGTTTCAGAATAGTGAAACTCCATTTTTGAAAGGAGTTTGACATGTTCAAAACGCCTGAAAATGATTTAAAGGTACCATGTGGTACTCCCAAATCATCCAAGAGCATTTTAGTATTGAAACACCATGAAACAACTATGGTATTGGGGATCCCTCAATTCAAATATGAATAGATCTACAGCAAGGATGCCCAGTTTGAGGTCTTCACCATTGGGGGCGATTGTTCGGTGGACTTGGCTCCTATGAGTTACTTGCGACAACGCTATGGGCCCCGGATGTTGGTGGCCTACATCGATGCCCATGCAGATCTCAATGCGGAGTGGGAAACGCCTTCCGGGCACTTCCATGGCAGCATGGCAATTGATAGGTTTTGGACAGTTTTTTTTCTTTGCGATGCTTGAACTGCAGGAAACTCTGAAACACATTTTTTTTAAAATGACCTTTGCCTTTGATATCGGTCAATGTGCTTTGAAAAGGTCACATTTGAGCTACAGCGACGAAAGCAAGTCTGCAAGTGGAACCAAAGTGGCAAGCCACGCATTATGTAGCCAAGTTTCGATTAGGTTCGGAAATGTTTCAAAGTTAGCCTCCTGCAATTTCACTCCCTTTTCCATCTTCATGCGTGCTTTTCCAAAGATGGGTGCCAAAAGCGCAGGACATTTCTCATCAACATTGCCAATTTTGGGCTATGCCCCCCACTTCGGGCAAAAAAACAACTATAAAAACATACATAATATTACATAATAAATACATATATATATATACAATATATATAAGAAGGCGATAGAGAGAGAGATATATATATATATTGTCAAAGGGAACTCAGTGACAACACATGAATAACATGTGACATGTAAACAACAACTGCACGGGACGCCATATGGCTCAAGACCCCGCGAGTAAAATAAGCTGCGCGTGCCGCTGTCTCATGGTACGACAAGCCTGACTGCCAGCATATCAGGGACTCCGAAAAGAAGTTATCCAGAACAAGGATCTATTTGTTCACAGGTTATCAGCCGTAAGGGCTCACTTCTCCCGTCGGGAGAGGAGTACCTGCGTGCTGGTAGCCGGGCTGTCTGAGCAATTGATTGTGGACGCAAAGGACCAATCAGCTCATCATCGCAAAGATGCAAGGCGGCAGCGGAGATTCACGCAACACGCAGTTCACCTTCAATGAGAACACTGCTATGCCGGCCGAGGAGATCACTCAATCTTCCCCTGGCGACACGGCAGACAGTGGTGGGATACGCCCTACCCGAACTACACAATCCGGATGGCAAGTTACATCAAACAGGCGAAGAATATCCACCCAAAGTACACCAAGATCTTCTCGAAATAGTGCTCGAAGTGATGTTGGCCGTCAAGGGCACCGGCCATCTCGAGGACGAACTACCCCAAGGGACAGATCCACCAGGGCCGTAACCGACCGAATTGGTGAGAGGACCGGGGACAGTCGTGTTAAGAGAAGATCAACGGATACTTCTGTGGCTAGTGAACCTATTGCCATGATAGAAGAACTACGGGCACAATGTCAATCCTTACGTAATCAGTTGAACCACATGGAAGCATATGCTGCATCAAGAGATCAACTGATTCATGACATCGAGATCAGATTCACTGAGTATCTTCAGGAACACAACCAGAATGTATTTGATGAGGTCAATGCACTCAATCATAGATTGTCATGTTCCGCAAATGAGGTTGCAGAATATCAAGCAGAACTAATGGTAGCATCTCAGGAAGACGAAGGTGCAACAATACGCATCCAAGACCTTGAACGCCGAGGTGCCCTGATGGAACATGGTGCAAGACGGATCCATCAACGCGGTATGGAGATCCAGGAAGAGTACAAGGATGAAGTACATCACCTTCAAGGACTATTGGGTAATACGGAGGCAAGACTGCAACAACTTCATCAGACCAACGTCTTAACTACCGATATTGCCAACCGATTGTACACTGAAGGTCAAGAAATGCAGACGGATTTCCAGAACTCAATCGTGGAATATCGTAATCGATCCGAAATGGCATCCTTCTCAAGTAATCAACTTGAAATGATTAGCCAACAACAATCAATTGCAGTTCATGAATTGTCTGAACGGAATCAGCTATTGAGTGAAGCTCTCGTTCAGTCTCGTAAACAGGCCGAGTTGTATGAAAGCAGTATTAAAGAGATCACTAGAGAATCTAGAAAGAAGGTTTTCGAGGCAAATCAGGCCAAGTTGGAAAGTGATCTGAAGCACCGAAATACTGAACATGATACTGTCAGAAGAATTGCATCATACAGGAATCATGAGGCCGAAGCGATATCACACCTGAGGCTTGAATCACAGGCTAGTGCAAATTCGATCGCAAGGGCAGAGCACTATGAAGAGCTCTGTGCCAACGAGCAGGAGATGAACTGTGAGTTGAAGGATGAGATCAAAAAGCAGAACGTGAAGTTGCGAAGATCATTGACTCAGGGCACTACGACCGACGGTCGTGGCCCTGATGAGATGCTTGTTGAAGACCTACGAAACCAAGCCAAAATAGCTCAAATCAGAGTTCAGGATCTAGACCATGAAGTTCATGAATATTTACAGGAGAACATGCTGTTAAAAGAAAGATTGACTGAAGTTGCGGATGTAGGGGCGTCGTCCTTCTCCAATGCGGAAGTCCGAACGTTAAGATCTGAACTAGAAAGTGAGCGCAAAATGAAATTGGCTAGTGGTGTTCAACAATATGAGAGATCATGCATGTTTATGGGGGAAATTCAGGATAGGGATGAAAAGATTGGTATCAAGAATTCTGAGATTGTTGACATGAAACGTCACTTAGATGAACTGAGAAAGAGTCTCAAGGATTCTGAAACATCTATGTCTAGGGTCAGCCCTGATACACTTCCCTATTCGGCAGGCATCCCCAACTATGATCTCGCATCAAGACTGGTCATCGACAAACTGGAGAATGAGGTGAGTGAGGCTAACTCTGAGAACGCTATCCTAAAATCTTGGGTATCGCAGATCGACAAGGAGTTGACCTACGAGACAAATGTTGCTCAATCCTATCGCGGACATGCTGGACCGTCTCAACAGCAACCTTCTCAATCGAACAAAAGAATCACCGATCTGCTGAAAGAAGTTGACAACAAGATCGCCGATGGAACTGAGAAGGACTATTACAAGCCTCCGAGCGGATGGGGCGGTCCGCCTGACCCTGATGGACCTCCTGACCCTTTCGGGCCCAACGGTCCAGGACCACCTCCAGAACCTCCTGGTTTGCCTTCAGTTCGAGGATCACAACGTGATTCAGCAGATGACATCTCCACAGCGGCGTACACGGCAGAAGAAGTACCGAGAATGTCAAGACGGGAGGCTGACAAAGTCTATGTTAGCCCATGGCCGAAGCAACAGAACCTTGGGGTTTGGCAATCAGATCTCATCAAGAGTGTTGTTCTTGCCGCGAATGATGGAGACAAAGCTGCGTGGGAAGCATGGTTACAGCCGGCTATAAGACCAAATCCTGACATTGAGCTGCTGAATGACAGTGGTGGACAACGATACCAGTCAATCGACGCCAAGTTGTCACTTGCATTGTCAAACGTTATAGCCCAAGCCGGTGATGTTGCTCGTCATGTAGCAATTAAATTGAGATTGAGAACACAGAGTCATAGTCGAAGAGGAACCTATGTTATGGGACGAGAAATCTTGGCTATGATCCTGGAACACTTCAGAACCCCAGGTCAACGAGAGACAGCCTTCACCATGGAGCACATAGTATCGATGAAGTATCTCGGTGACTCAAACCTGGAAGTGTTCTACGAGAAATGGATGGAGATGGTATCAAACATGATGCCGGATGATGTACCTCCTGATGATTGGCTTCGTGACGCTCTATACAAGAAGATTCGAAATTCGAGTCTCATGATGTTCGACATCAAGCAGTACGAGTCATGGATTGAAGGAGATCAAAGGCGAAGCTATCGCTACCTGTTGGACGTCATCGAAAGGCACATCTCTAGAATTAGAGAAGACAAGCATGTGGCCGCTAGAGAGAAGTACGCAAGAGACTTTGCGGGTGGTGGAAAGCCCACTGCTCCTGCACCGAATCCAACTGCTGCTGCGCCAGATGCCAATCCGAAAGCGAAGCCTAAAGCCACTCCCAAGGAGAAGGCAGCACCTAAGGCGAAGGCCAAGGCTGAAGCAGCTCCAGTTCTACCATCACCTCAACCAAAACAGCATGCAAAAGGAAAAGGAAAAGGTCAAGGGAAAGGAAACGGTCGACCAAACAGCCGAAGTGCTAGTCCTAGATCCAAGAAGAAGATCCCATGCCACTTCCATTTCATTAAGAAAGCATGCAGAAAAGGCAAAGATTGTGAATACAGTCACGACCAAAAGGTGTTTGATGCGAATAAGAACGCGAAAGGTAATGGTCGAAAGCCAGGAACTCCTAGAAGTCAATCTCCAGCAAATAAGACCAAGAAGGTTGATGAGCCATGCTGGCACTGGGCTAAGGGCAAGTGCCGATATGGAGATAAATGCAACAAACGTCATGATCCTCATCTATTCAACACTGCTCCGAACACCGAAGCATCAAGCTCAAAGGCTACTCCCGCACTTGTCCATGATTGGAGTGATGACGAAGGGACATTCCATAAGGTCGCATCGAATGTCGTCAAGAAGAAGGTCAGATTCGATGAATCCAAGACTTGCATCCAAACGTATGTGAAGAAGGACTTCGTGAAGTGCAGCCGGAAATCCCAGACCATCCCCAAAGGTCATGGTAAAGTTGGTAAGCCTACTGATCAGATAAGGCAAGATGAGCAATGGTCTTATTCATGCAGACTAGCATCGAGCCGAGGGAAGGCAATGGCTATCCTGATCGATGAGAAGGGTGAGTACAGTGACATTGATGAAGTCCTGGTCATCGTCGGTCCCAGCCTGGACATTCTGATCAGACTCGACATCGAGGACGGTGAGGTGTCCAGGGAAGTCTTTGTGGAGAACTATGTTCAGCATATCGAGGGTCGATATGGTAAAAGGGGCAACACAATGTGTATCACTGTTCCCGTTGAAGAAAGAGATAAGAGATTCATATTGGATTCTGGAAGTGGTCATGATCTCATTTCATCCACACGAATAAGTAGAATGGATCTCCCAACATATGATGATAAAGTCGTCAACTTCCATACAGCAAACGGGGTAACATGTTCGACCAAACGTTCAAGTATCAAGTTCAAGGCATTCAACGAACCAGCAGAAGCTCACATCCTGGAAGACACTCCTTCTGTGATCTCCATGGGTAAGCGGTGCGTCGACCTTGGTTACTCATTCGTATGGCCAACTGGGAGAACTCCTTTCATGTTAGACCCCAATGGCAACATCATTGAAATGATTGTCAAAGACTATATTCCTTATGTGAG